GACGAAGTGGTACATCACAACAGCTTATGTTCCAACTAACAATATAAATACGCTCGAAAAGACTCCAACAGTTTAAGTACAGTTTAAGTACGCTCTAAAATGTTCCATCCCAAAGCCTCGCTCGGAAATAATCCATCGTTTGCTCAAAAATAATCTTTTCCCTAGAAAACCACGAACCGCATATCGTACCATGGACATAAACCAATTTGACTTTTAAGTTGAGCTCTTAGCTCTTAATCACCACAAGACGGCTTGGTGGGCGTGACGTCTCCACCATTGAACACGGTGACTTCCTTGGCGAATTGGTTGATACCTTTGTACACTTCGAGGCCGCGTGTCTTGATGGTCGTCACGTTCACGACAAAATCATCGCCGATAATTTCAAACGTCAGGGAAGGCTTTTTGAATTCACGGAACGCGTAATCTTGAAACAACCCATACGACATGGAAAATGTTTTGGCCAACGGTTTAGCGGTGTACGCCCCCAGGACGCTTTCCAATCCACGGCCGAGGACTTCGAACTTCTCGTCAAATCCCCCGCCGATTGGCTGGTTAGTGTCTGCGTACGGGTACAAGACGAGCCCCATGTACGAGTGAATGTCAATAAACCCTTGGATTTCATTGCGCTTGGTTTTGAACCAATCATTGATGCCCGCGGTTTCAGGCTCACTGAACGGCTTAAGTCCAGGGTACGTGTCGTCGTCTGGGTGAATGCTTTCGGGGTCGGGCAGGCTCGGCCAGTTGCGGTTCAAGTCAACACCATTGGCATTCTTGCGCTGGTACCGGGTGCCGTTCCACGTCTTTTCGAAGCCGTCAATGTTGACGATCGGCACAAAGTACAAGTCGTACTCGTCGGCGGCCGTGGGTTTGTTATTGGTAATGTCATCCAGAATCGACGCGAATGAGAACAGAATCGACGCTCCTGCGATCCATTCGCGGGCGTGTAGCTGGGATTGAAAGTACAAAGACTGCGAGTGGCCCTTGGTCAACTTGTAGCCGTAAATCGTGGCGTTATTGTACGTCTTGGAGATGGCAATCTTGCTCAGCAACGTCGGGTTTTGGGCGACCAACGCATCGGTGAACTCATAGATTTGGTCGATGGTGCGGAAGCAGTTATGGAACGCACTGGTCGAGTACTGTCCGGTCTTGAGGGACGGGATGTAGTTGCCGTTTTGTTTGTGGCACTCGCGGTTCAACTCGGCATCGTCTACTTCGACAAAATCCTCCTGCAACGTTCGAGCGCGGCCGTTGATGTCCGCGATGGTGTTGCTGGTTTGGGCGGTGGCTGCCGCCGCGAAGAGGGCAATGGCACTGAGGAGGGAGACCTTCATGGCGAAATGAATAATGAGGAATGGTATTGCAGGCTACCAAAACGCCCTTGACAGGGTTCGTGATGGTGTGATAGGAAGTAGGAAGTAATTCTCAGGCCAATAGAGGGGTGCAATGACCTTGGCAGACCTTGGCAGGCTTGTTCGGCTTTATGTTCTTGCCATGTCAAGGCACATTTTATCGCCCAGTGCAACTTAGTACATGTGTATCACCTGATTTGGCAGAATATATACTGAGTTGGCAGAATGTACTGTATACGTATAGGTAGGTGCCAACATCCATGTCAAAGATGTCAAGTGACAGGATATTTTGGACGTGGCATGGACCATTTTAACGGGTGTCATTAGTATGAATAACGTACAACAATTAGCAGTACGAACTTGTTAGTAAAAAAGTGACGTCGTCCCAGACACTCGAATCCGTACCTTCGACTCGAAAGTCATATCATCCAAGCAAAGATCGGTTCTTTAACCCAGGTAATAGAGCCTTCTTTAGCCTGGCCAATGTTCTTAAGTCCGGTTAAAATATCAAAGAAACCTGGCTTTACTGACCCGAATAAGTCCACCTCCCATTTCACACCAACATTTTTCCAAAACATGACCCCTAACCCCTCCATCCATGTGCTTCCCAAAAAACAAGAGAGACAATGAATTTACAAGTCGTGAGAGTGGTTAAGACATGTGTATCACCTGAGTAGTGGTTAGGGTGACTATGTTGAAGATAGTATTAATCCGAATGGTCTTGTGGAGCATGCGGACGGAGTGTGGGCTTTAGCTGCCTTGTATGGCTCACACCCCGGCCGCATACACCGCCAGCGACACGGTCATGGACTTCCGCCGTTTGATGGTTGGTTATCAATGCCCCACAACCCGCCCACATGTACCATGTTCCTTGGTCCATGCCATCCAGAATTTATTCATGGTCCTCACCTTCAAGTCATACCGATATGTAGAGCTTGCATCATGACATGCATTTAGGGCGGGATGTTTGCGCCATGTTTGAAGATTAATTGAGTTTGGATTATCATTTTTAAGACATTCCTCCGCGAGGGCCGACACTAGAACCACATGTTATGGTACCGCTTCGCCAATTGTAACGCGCCTGCTCGACCAGGGGCGGTGTGTAATCTTCGTTTTTTTTTACTTCGCTCAACGCTTCATACCTCGTGCTTCGACCGATCTTCTTCGAAGTTCGGTCCTCGTCTTCGTACGCGGCCCTTGTTATCCGGATTCCCCAGGGGAGGGACGGATAAATCCTTGCGGAAATAATCCGGGGAATCCGGGGATCGAACCCACGACCTTTGAGTTAAGAAACCGATGCTCTACCACCTGAGCTATTCCCCCCCTGTGCCATGTTTGAAGGGTCGTGGGACGTCTGGCAAGAATATATTAATACAATGTTCAGTACTACTACAGTACCGGTAGTAGTACGTAGTACAAGAAGCGGAATATCAGGATCACTCTGATCCGTATTCATCCTGTTACACACACTTATGTACTCCAGCGAGAGGTTAAGTGCATGGACAGTGGTTAGCGTTAGCCAAGCACTGGCCATGCAACATACACTAACTGTGGAAACAGGCATTATATGAAAACACAAGTGGTTTAGAGGCATGCATTATATGTAAACACAAGGGGTTTCGGGTCTGGGTTACAAGGGTACGGGCAAAAGCGTACGAAGCTGGAAATGGTAAGATGCATGATAACGTATGCGACATGTGGATAAGTTGAAGTTTTAGATAATTGTAGATTCTTGAAATGCTGTTGTAAATTCATTGTCTCACGGTTCAGAGGAGGCCAGGGCCTTGCAGTTCTGTCTGGGCTGTTTGGCGGTTAGATCGATGATCCGTCAAGCAACCCAATTAGGAGTAATTGCTCTAAGGATCCGCGATACACGGTCGTGCTAATTTTTCTCATTTTTAACATTATTAATCTAAAAAATTTAAAAGCAATATGATGTTTGTGAATTTGACTGAGGGAATGGACAAAAGAACGTGGTTGTGGTGGAGGGTGAGTGCCATACATAGCAGGGTCCTATATAAGGTCGTTGCATCTACGGGGCACTCTACTTCAAACAGTTCATTGGTGAATGCCTTGCAGCAAACCGTACCAACCATTGGATAGAGAGACCTTTAGCAAACCCGGAATTTGACCATACCGGTACAGTATTCCTGAAATTGTCTTCGTTCGACTGTGAACAGGAAATTTGATTCATAACTTTGAAATTGTACCTTTAGCAACCTCGGAGTTTCAAAATTCCGCGCGACATGCCTTACATAATTTCTACGATTGACTTCTTCGTGTCTCCGCTTGATGTTAAACTACTTAGTACGGTTATATATGCGTAGATGTCAACGGGCAGTCGTCCACAACATGTTAAGACGTGGCGGTTGTTTACAGCCGCCACTGTAAACAACCAAGTGATACCATGGCGATAAAGGGATCAGTACAGTATACCTGTAGTGCAGCAGAAGTACTGTACAGTAGCAGCGCGTGTGTACACTGTACGCAGAAGCTGGGGGACCACATCAAGGACGACGACGCTTGCAAACATTCCGTCATATTTACAACAGAAAATGTCCGCGCCATTCAAGAGTTCAATCTTGAGTTGAAATTGAGCTTGTGAATGGTGCGGACATGCTGGTATATAGCCTCGGTTTGATGGACGGTTCGGGGAACCATCGCCGCACCATCGAAAAAACCATGTGTGTCATCTCGTTTGGGGTATGCAGCTCGACTTCGCCACCAGAGCCGTGGTTCAACACATATATTCTCGTAGTACCGTACTCCATCTTTCTAGATTTATCACCCAAAGTGAATATATAATGTTTTGAGGTAAATGGTCAAAAGTTTGCCTCACGGAATTAATTCCTCTCAATTCATATATATATTGTAAATGAGAGGTGTTTTGGGAACATCACAGCCATCAAACAGCGCACCCAACGTGCCGTATTGCCGCAAGCGTCAAACTAGTACCCACACGAATGCACAAAGTGAAACATTCAGAGGAAGGAGCGTAATGCCAAACAGGCAAATGAAAGCCCATTTGAGAGGAAGCATGATTCACTATTCAGCCGGGACATGAGAGGGCAATGGAGAGCATGGACCGCAATAGAGCACTACATCAACGACATAAATCACGATCGCTATATTGCAGCAGCGCTGTTTATGTGCTGTATCGATACTACTACATGTGTGTGTGAGTCAATATTTCAGCAATTTGAGACGTAGAATCGACAGATCTCAATGTGGTGAAGAAATTCTACGCCTCAGATTCAAATTTGGTGATGAATTGGTCCAGAAATAGATGTACTACTACATGTACGGCTTGTGTGATGATCGTGGGGTTAAGATACCAGTACTGTAAGTTACTTAACGTTAGTATCGGTTGTGTGATGGTGGGGAGACGTGAAGATATGGCGCACACGGTAGATTGAAGTGATCGTTGGAACTGCGTTATGCCGTCACAAAGATCACGAAAGCACGATGTCATGTTGTTCTCGTGAACACGGTGACGGCACAACACAACCGCTGAGGATAGAAGACCAGGGATCATAGTGGGGCATCAGAACCTACAATAGGAATGAATCAATGATGAAGTTGCTTGTACTGTACCGCTGTTGACTGGTCGCGTGTAGAGCAGCCATGGCCCTCGGCACTTGCCGCCACTTGCACGTCTCTGGTGGCACCATGAAATAGGGTAGCCAATTGTCTCCTGAATTCTATAAAGTCTCACCTCTATACATAACACTACCTCTAATATCAGATAATTGAAAACGAAATGTCTAAATTATCGATATCTAGAAATTTGTATGACGCTCTTAACATCCACAACTTGAACTTCAGCATACAGTGGATAACTTCTTTAAATTTGTATAAATTATACACATGGGTGCTTCTCTTAACGTACGAAGTACGGTACTGTATTGACTGTCGCCTTATTGTGTAATATGATTGGCTGGTAATTTGGAGATGCAACTGTACGAATTTACTTTGTCATCGATATTTCGTACAAGAGTACAGTAGTATACGTATACTAGTATACTACGAAGTACTACCGTAGTAGTACTAGCCAAATTCCCGGAATTTGACACACCCGAAGTTCGAAGGTGTGAGCACCAGGAAAATTCATTTCAGGAATTTCAAATTCCGGGTTTGCTAACAGGTAAAGGTCTCTGATACCGGCATCACCGAATTGACAGCTGTGAGTTCATGGCCACGGAATGAGGTTTACTCCTCATTCGAGTAAGTAGTTGCAGTGGTTTGCATAGAAGGACTGAGCCGAAAGGCGTGGGCTGTTAACCTCACAGCCCACGTTTTTCGGCTATAGGAGTTGGAAGGATTCTCAGACTAATAGAGGGGTGTAATGACCTTGACAGGCTTGTTCGGCTTTATGTTCTTGCCATGTCAAGGCACATTTTATCGCCCAATGCAACTTACAGTGGTCGAGAGCATCCACGACCCCTTTTCTTTCATTACCCAAAATTATAGATTGTGAGAAGATAAGACATGAGGTAATTGTGTGACTACACCTGTAACAATTTGATAGAAATTTTAAGGATTAGAAGAGGTTATCAAGTTTTAGCGCTTGTGTTTGGCACTAGTAATCTGATCATTCGTCATCATCTGAACTGGCCTCACTGGCATTGTCAACGGAGCCTTCGTCGTCTGATGAGCATTGGCCAAGCTCCTCATCTGCTTCGTCAAGAGTCTCGAGGTAAAGACTCATGGCGGCCACTTTCCTCTCTGTATGACCGATGCAGTTGTAGATTGTCTTGCTTGGCAGCGTAGCGAACGCTGCATCCAACCGCACC